TATGTTGACAACCAACCTGTTCCCTCAGTAGACTCTCTACAATACCTCGATGTAACTAGCTGTCGAGATCTCACCTGGACCTCACACTTTACTTCTACTTTTTTGAAGATTCGACGGTTGTGTTTCTTTATTACCCGCTTGCGCTCTTTGAAAGTTCAACTGTATTTACTAACCCAATTTTTATATTCTTGTGTTGTTACTCATCTTCTCTACTGCTCCCCAGTTTTATTTGCCGGTCTTAGAGCTAAAGGTTACACAATTCTACACCGGTCTATTAAAATTATTTCTCGCACAAGCGGTATTCCTTATTTGCACTTGCTTAACTTTATCGTTGATAAACATTTTACCTCTTGCGATAACTTCTGTAACAATATTCTGTCAGACACCACTCACCCATTACACACAGTTCTTAAACAACGCATATCCACTTCCGTCACAAGATGTCGTTATAAACTGGTGTGCTCTCGTACCACTGCTTATCGTTTGTCCGTCGTCCCCTATCTTTCGAGATTTCGGACTCAAAAGGCATCTGTTAGAGAAGACCTTTTGAAATTCCTACGCAACTGATATTCATCTTCAAACATTTTACTCCGCATTTCTTTGAATTGACGATGCTTTTTTCTCTCACTATTTTTGTGACTGTATGCGACGATAAATGTTCCTGGAATGCAAGCGGCTAAGAATCCCTTCATTACGATGCATAAAGCGATTTTTGACTTTACTTTACTTAACTTATGTGCATGCAAATCCTACCCCTCCACCCTTTCGGAGTACAAACTTATCCCGTCTCGCATATCCGCATAAAGAAACTCTTTGGTACCCTATCTTACCCGGATACTGACCGACAAGGAAAATGTTCGTTCTGAGCTTTCTAATGCATTCAGTAATTAACTCATTTTTGTACGTTTCACATCCATCTTTTCCCCCTGTTTTTACCAGAATTGTAACGGTGATCTACTTTTGGCTTAAAGCTTGTATATAACCCGCCAAAGCTTGAATACAACACAATACAATACAATTTCGTCCCCTTTCTTACTGGACCTGCTACGCCTGCGTTGACCCAGTTGGTCTATTGATCCGTCCTTAAGTGTTCTTACGCCAGTGACCCGTTTCACCTTCTTACTCAGTTGTCCACCCCCACCACTCCACCGTCTCCTTATTCGTGACCCGGTAGGCATTCATCCGATCGACAACCACGCACACATACACACACACATGAACATTGCTCCCGTTCCTCACGTGATTGGCATTTTGACCCCGTACATTTCATTGGTTGGCTGTCAGTCGTTGAACCCTTGTGCAATTGTGCTTGCCACCTAAGGCATTCTGACCGTTGACTGACCAAACTGCGCGTACCGACTGTCGTTGAGTTGAACGCTTTGACAACTTTTGAAGGCTCATTTTGACGCACTATTGTTTGATTGTGCCTTGGCAGTGCAAACACGCACTCCCCGAGCGGCTTCACGATTCAAGGTTTGTATTTATTCTGTATTGACCATTCGTTGTCTATTATAGTACAACATTTAAAGACAATCTCGTCTTATGTTAACTTCGGGATTTGCGCGTCACTCGATCGTTAGGACGGATTACCAGTGTGTAATCCACATCAGAGAATTTTCTCAAGATATTCTACAGAAGGGAACTGAAAGGAATTAACGATCATCCAAGGAGTGAAACCCACACCGAACATCATCAAAAGTGCCTGGTTCCTGTCAGAAACCGAATGGGCTAATCCGAACATTCACCATCTAAATTGATTGAGCCATTCGCACACAGTGATAACCATCAACCGTGTAGCTCAAGGGAAAGGGTTTGAAGTCCCAACCCGAAGAATCGCGGTTCGAGTCTTGACAGGGCCACATAAAGTACGCACTGCTGACAAGTCCCAAACAGGGCGAAACAGCTGTCTAGTGCTCTTTGCTGGTTATCACAAACATTTCCATCGCATTAAACAGTGGGGAATCAACGATCTTCCAAGGAGTGAACCCCATCTAACGTCATCAACAGTGCCTGGTGCCTGTGAGAAACCGAATGGGCTAATTCAAACTTTGACCATCTAAACGGAATTGAAGGAACATTAATACACTTACTGATGCCGAGCACCACGGAGTGGGATAAGAACTAATCACCAAGTTCAATTAAACTCTCTTAAAGAGGGTGGTAGGGTGTTTTGAAGTGTTTGAACCAATCACCACACTATCAACATACTTGCAGGCAATAAAGTACAGAGGAAAATGACAGGGGACGAAATAACACCTGCAGATTTACGGAAGTTAGTGTTTACAGAATAGGGTTTTGTGCAGTTAAAGGATGAAAATATAGTTGATCGAAAAAAACCAAAACTTTGAGCCCCAGACCACATTAAGAAACAATTTGAATAAACACTATTCGGTCGTGAGAAAAAAAGGAGTTTGCCGAGTCTAGAAAATTCGAATCATCAGTACCCGTACCCATGTCCAAGAGGGATGTAATGCAACGTATTATGGGACTAGAAAGCACTATGTGTGGATAAAATTGATTTGTAAGCCAACTGAGAGGGGGGGGGGTCATGCTGGGTAACATCCGATGCTTTTTCAGACTAAAGAGTTGGGTCGGTCTTTCTTGGGGCTAACATCCACGATTCCAGGATCATTCTAGGTGACAAAGAGGCGAGCAGTGGATAACTTGTTTCGTCGTGTAGAAACCAAAAGAAGCGTGGACAAAAGTACTAGAAAGCACTGCACTGCTAACGTGTCAAACCCGAACAACGTTCGGAGTGTACTGCTATTTCAACCTGACCAGTGCTCCTCAACAATTCATGAATCCATCGATCCAACTGGAAATCGAACGTGAGATCTCACAGCTGAAACACAGACATAGGAACCACTCAATCACCGTACAAACTATATATTTGTAATATTCGGAATAGGAATCGAAATCGAATAGCGCGCGAACTCGGAATCGGACTGAAAACCCACTGAATAGCGCAAAGTCAGGTAGATCCAAGACTGGGAGTNGTTTGGGTGTTCAAGGTAAAAATACCAGAATCCTCAACTCGGAAGAAATAATCTTCAGTTCCTGGATCTATCCAACAGTATCTTGGTAAATCAGCTCCAAAATTGGATCATTGATGTTCATACTGTAGCCAATTTTGGTACTACTGCCCTCCAGCATGAATTGGCAAATGTGCTTTTTTAAACTGAGTAACTCGATCCAAACAGACTGCCTGTTGATTAAACACACTGTGGGTTGATTTCCATTTATTACCGATCTAAGTGCATCTTCACAACCACAGTGGGGGCGGTCGGAATGCGCCTTCGGTTGCGGCGCAAACCTGGTCTTAAGAATACTCGGTCTGTCATAATCATCGCAGCAATCACACGAAGTCAAATCACCCAGCCCCCAATCCATACCCGTCTAAACCCGAACCACTAAGTATTTGTGCTGAGAAACATGTGATGGAAATCACAGGACGGGCCTGAGTATCGATTATTTATGATCTGTTAAATAAGAATATTCCTTAAGCTATGCTACAGTATTGCTTATAAAACACACAACTTCAAGTAAAATCCTAAAACTACTCAAGTTAATTGTAATATTTTTATTTCTATCCAATATTTCATTGTCTTCATCCATTTCAGTTTGATAAATTCTTTTTCAGATAGCGTTTTAAGTAAGTAGCAGTTATAAAAATAGCTAACAGAGGGGGCATTTAAGTTTATGTATCTGTAACTGACCTCCTGAGAGCTCTACAAATTTAACGTTGCGGACGTGAAACAGGTTACTGAGACCTGACACATATTGGTGCAGATTTATTACACCTCAGATATAAAACTCAATTTTGGCACTACAATGCGGCTGGACATAGCGAATGCTAAACATTAAGCGGTAAGTTAGATCGGTGGCTTAGGCTGTAGTTGTGGGGTTTGAATAGAGCACTGATGACAAAATGATGCCTGTGTTACTAAGATATCGCTCATGAATGCACTCGAACAAAATCAAATCAAAATTCGTATTGGACAGATTTTTGATGAATTTCGGATCAAGGAAATCTTTTATTTTTTATGCGAAAGCATTGCTCTATCAACTTAAACAACTTCCTTGCCAAATTTAATTTCTCCTTAACCAACATTAATCCAACTGCAAGTTGATAACTCAGTTTTGTCTGTTTGGAAACACCTTGCAGTTTTCTAAATGTCATAAACGTATCAGGGGTGACCTAAATCGCTTGCTAATAATCTTCCAGTTTTGTTCACCTGGTTGCTTTCATCTAAGGTATACTTGTCAAAAAAGTATTCAATGCTGTGATATGGGAACTAGAGTGCAGACCTTTCAAAACTACTTGACATTCTCGAGGTAATCTGTTTATGGATCGAACTTGTATTACGCACTGAAACCTTCACGGAAAATTTCAGGCGACCGTTCCGCCGGAGAGATATTCCATTCAAAACTGGATTAATTGCAATATATTTCTTTAGTGTGTATACTGGATATGTACAAAAGACGAGCAGCACCACCCACAAATTGGAGTCTCCGCCACTGTCTGATTTGACTGTCTTTTACACATATACACACAAGCCTGATCACGGATACACAGAAGTGATGGTTGGTTTGTTGGTTGGGGGTAAGAGGTCAACAGTGATTCGCATAGACAGGTTGATGATACCGTGTGTGTGTGTGTGGCTCAGGAGTCCGTTATTGGAATTCATTGACAATGGGGTTGGAATGCACGGTGCAATCAGAGCGATCATCTTGACTGGTGCCCACTACCAATCCCACCTGGAGGGACCAACTTGTCTGTCTGCTCTTCAAAGACCAAACTCCTTAAATGAGGCCTGAGGAGCCAAACATGTGTGAAGCATGACGAGACAAAAAAAAATAAATACACGAACACTCACTGAAGGAGATAATTGCACGTAAAGAAAAACAGGTTTGAGTGATTGGCTCATAGAATGGAACTGCTTTGGATATCGTGGGGGTGGAGAGAATATTTGTGGTGTTGTGGATGTATCTCATAGGATTCAGACAAAACTGCTATCACTCATTGGTTTGGGTGTCGCAGGACATGAATTCAAGGAACCAGATTTTGTTCTTGAGGTCGCACAGGAGCACGGAAATGTGTCTTCTTTGGTGCAAGGTTGCGACTGTTGTGTTCCTGTCACCGATGCGGATGACATTGGTGGCGATTGTTGCTGGGTTTGATGTGACTGTTGTCCTGTTGGTGAGCGATGCGACAAGTTGCTCGATAAAAACGTGCTTTGCCCGACACCGGTATCTGTCCGATGATCGGTTTCCTGACCCAAGTGATGCGGAAAACGTCCAGTGGACGGAGATGACAAACCCACCAGGTCAGCATCGTGAGTAAATGTGACACGCGGGAGCTTGCCACCCACCGCACTACCACTGTTGGTTGTGGTGGTGGTGCTGGTGTGTGGAAGAACCGTGAGGGATGGATTTACTGGCCCATTTAAATTACGACACATCAAATCCGGTCGAATTGTATAATACGTGTCCCGTGGTCCATTATCATCCATTCGCAAATTTGGATAATTCGCATCGGTCGCACTTCGACGACCCGTATCGATACTGTGATCGAGAACCAGAGGACCGGCAGGTCCGCTGGGAGATAGGCTTGATCCGAGCATGTAGGCTTGAGCGGAAGGACTTCTGTTGCCCAGCTTGGAGTGTAAATACCACCTGTCCGCCGGTGGATTAATGAAACCAACCAATGCCGGAAGTGGGTCATAGTGCGGTACGGTGCGTGGTATGCTGCTCGAATCCGTGTCATCCCGAGGCGAATTCGAACATGTGTCCGGAAAGTAAGGTGCACCAGCCGAGGGTGAAGTGCGTGAAAGGTAGATTCGTGCTGTTCGAGATTCGTCTGTGGTTTGAAGGGATCGAAATATACAACAAATCACATAGGTTAAAGGTCAGTCAGAAAAAATAACTGATTTCATCATTTCAATCACGTTTAATTTCCAGTCAAATCTATCAATCACTTCACAAAGCCTCAGGGAGATTATTTAGCAACCACATAACTACTATGTTCTGAAAAAAAGACGTTACAGTACAGTAGTTTACAAGTAAACAACAAACAACGGCAACAACGACAGAAAATACATGGTACACATGACTGCTAATCGGATTAGATTTGCATCTTACGCAGACCACCTGTAACCGACAAGATGCGCAACAATGGAACGCCAGTAGGCCTTGGTAGGTGCTTTTTCAAGCTTATGACCAGAACAGGTAAATGAATAAGAAAGGCACAGGTTGAAGTCAGGATATAGAGGATAAGAGATAAAATCTTCTGGGGTAACGTTTTACAGATTATGAAGTGCTGTGCGGTACAAATTGTTCCTGAAAAATGACTACATACCGACGAGAACCTGAGGGATCGAGGATTGAGTTCAAGGTTATTGATTAATAGACTGGAAAGATGTTAGGGGACTCATAAGGCCGATGGGATGAAACCCAAGTAACAAAGTGGTTTATGAGAGGAATAGGGATAGGAAGTGACCTAAGTCGCAAAGCATAGAACATAAGTCTTGTAACCTTCAGGAACACGGTGATGAAGTGATCAGATCATGTGAGGTTATCTGACGGAAGGTTATCTGTTCATCTAGTCATTTAAGATGAATAAATATGAATTGACAGTCGACAGTTCGTCATACTTGAGACCTTTAAAAAGGAGAAGTTTATATCATAACATGTTGGTACATGAGTTACTATTTGGTCAAATTGTTTCATGTAAGAGGAACACAAATCGCGTGCTTTGTCATCAAATAAATAATGAGTATTAGGTACCAATATATTGTTGGTTAAGAAGTAAATAAATGAAAAACCGACAGCTCAGCAGATAAAACAATTAAAAAACCAAAGGCGAGACATTAAATATTGCTTGAAGAGAGGTGTCGAAATCGGTACCTTCCGTTTTCAAAAAATTGTAAATCGATTCGTTGGAAACGCTGTGGTATGGGCAGGCGGAAACCGGTAGTGGAGGCAAACCTAATGTCATATTAAGTCAATCTGCTTGGGAAGATTTGTTTATGCCTTTAGAACATGTAATCCTTGTGCAATGGTACACGTTGTTTTGACCATATCCCACACGATCCGACTCTGTTCCATTTATCATGCAGTATTTAGTAGTTCGAAAACCCGGAAAATTGCAGTGGTGATAATACATCAATTCCTACTGCATACTACTTAATCGGGGTAAATCGACCAACAGAATTAGGATAAGAACGACCCTGAACGAATAATATGAAGCGATATTTCGTAAACAAACATATCAGGAATCCCGATAACCGATAACATCGTCGACCAAATTGCCGATCATCTACACTCACTGAGAATCTGTCCCCACCCATCCCCGATTGCTTCGAGATGCATGCTTGAAAAATCGAGCTTCCCTCATCCAATTCATCAAAACTCTTGAATCAAACAAATAATTGAATTTAACTTTGTGATCCTTCTTTTGATACCCGTGTTATCGGTTGTCATAAAATGCGGCTACGATGCGCTCAACTATCTGATTAAACTGCAAAATGAGGTAGAAAAACAACAAAACAAAAGAAAATGGAGTAATTAGATCTATGCCAGAGTGACATTGCTCATTATTGAGGGATAAATTACATACATACATACATACATACATGCATACATACATACATACATACATACATACATACGTACATAAAGTATACACTAAAAGTTCATCTTGGTCTGCAACTTCGTCCGCAGGCAAGCGATGATCCTACCCTGAATGTGCTGGTGGTTATTCTATATGATCCACCATGCATTAATTAGGGTCGGTTTGCCAGTTCACGCTAATTTCTTCCACACACACACACACACCAGCTTTGCTCACTTCCTTATTTACTACATTTTTGTCCGTCCATGCAGCCGGATTTTGAGCTTGGACTGTTCAAGAAAACCGGAACTTTCATTCGCTCAGCAACCAGAAATGGGCAACCACCCACTGGGTTANGGTACGCATGTTGAGACATTATCGGAGAAATAAAAAAACGATGCAAATTATTACTGCTACTATTTATCATATTTGCTCTGGAACGATCGGTTTTGAACAGGTTACATTTTATTTATTCTTTTATTGAAACATTGTTCGATTTCTCACATTTAGACAGCCGTTTTNAATAGATGCAAACCATGCTGTCCTCGTGAAACGAAACTGATAGGCATTGACGTTCTAGATAAACAGACTTTAGACATCACAGTTTAATTTAAATCAATTCAATTCTGAGGTAAAACTTACCACCAATCAGTTCCGATTCGGTTGGGGTAAGCGGAGATTCTTGCCTTGAAGCGGTTTTCAATTCATTGAGGTCTGCCTATAAGATGGGATGGAGTTAGAATGAGATTCTGTACCCGAAACAATGCTGACTCGCTCATATTTTCGCTGTGAAAGACAGAAATGGCTGAACTGTGGTTTGTGAAGTTCACGAGAAGTTATTAAATCAATTATGCACTGATCGCGGATTCGGAAAATCCTCACATGAAATATCAACGGTAAGTAAAAACCCTGTTTCGGTGGCACAGTCCAGAATCACGGACAACAACTGCGATGCATTTGGAGGTGTCTACACAGTGCTGAAACAGATACCTCACAATTAGCTGTGGCATCTTTGGGTATCTCTTTTGGTGACCAGATAACAACACACGACTGATTATGACTAGTGTATTGGTATCAGATAAATAAACGGGGCTCATGGGATAGTTGTACGGGGCAGAAAATGTTAGCTTTGCAAAAAAACAACAGTATTCTATCAGTCAATCAAGCGCTCTAGTTTCTTTGTTTCTTCCACCCACATTGCGAGGTTATGATGACATGTGAGACGACCCTCTAGCAACATCTTATCTTCAAACTGGTTTCTTAAATGAACGTGAACAGTTAAACCGGCGAGCGCAGCCATCGACCATCCCTTTGTGCAGTATGTGTTGTCTTAGTTTACAGACTAGACCACGACGACAGTTCTCTTTGTTCGCCTTTAGGTACCCCTCCCTCTCTCCCTCCCTCCCTCCCCCCAAGAAAAATACACATACCAGCACAGAATTAGACCTTCACGACAGTTTATCTTGGAAACACACGTTTTTACTCTTTATTCCATGCTGTCCTGAAAGTCACTCCATCACGGGTTTACTAATATACTGACTTTCACGGAACTTCACGTACTCACAAAGAAGTCAGTTCGTGCTCGCTTCCCGTATCTGCATTTATGAATCCATCTCAGTTGTGCCCGGCATTTTCCCCTCATTCATTATTAGAAGGGAAGCGAACAACGACTGATACACATTGTTGTCAGTCTGGTCGAGGTTGAATTCGGAACCGATCGTGAGAACACAAGATGGTGAATGCGTTGATCGAGAATTATCGAAAAATTAGCGGAAGAGTGGGATCTTCTTAACAAGATGGTCTTGCCGAACGTCACGTTTTCAGGCATGCACGTGTCCATGTGCAACAGTTAACTATGCAAGTGTGTATGTGTATTGTTCGGATCGCATGTTATCTCAGTTAATTGTGATTCTACACACGATAAAGCGGGTAACTGGACATGGTTGACCGAAATTGTGTCCCGGTAATTGCGTTCTTGTTTGTATCTAAATCAGAGCGGTTATTTTTCCAATTTGTGGAAAAAAACGCTGCAACGAGGAGGAATGTGTGGTTAAGTGCAGTGCCTCAAAATATGCAGAGAGGAGGGAGAGATGAAGACAGATAATAACTGACACCAGTTAATACTTCATAAACGTGAGATACTTAAGCCTCTTTATGCCAACTCAATAACAGTGGGCAGTAGGCAAATTTTCTGGGCCATGTTTTTCTTTGGTCACGCCATAGACATGAAAAACGTGGGTGATTTAAATGTTCAAAATGTGTTGTTTTGGCAGTCAGGCAGCAACATTTTGTGATGTAGCAGATTTAAATACTTCGGTCTTCTCTA